TTGAATTTTGGCTTTAATCCCCGAATTCTGACTTTAATCTTAAAATTCTGGGTTTCATCCCTGAATTCTGGGTTTAATCTTAGAATTCTGGCTTTAATCCTTGAATTCTGCCTTTAATCCCTGAATTCTGACTTTAATCTTAAAATTCTGGGTTTAATCCCTGAATTCTGGATTTAATCCCTGAATTCTGACTTTAATCTTAGAATTCTGGCTTTAATCCCTAAATTCTGACTAAGAATTCTGACTTTAATCTTCGAATTCTGACTTTTTTCTCATAATTAAGGAAAAAAATAATATTGCACCATGACCCTAATCCTCTTCCGTACTTTTTGTTCTCCGATGCAAAACAAACAAACAAACAAAAAAACAAATTGCTGATGTCTCTTTTCTAAAGGAAAATCATTTTGCTAAATCAGTAAAGCAGCAATAACGGTCAACATTAAAGATAAAAATAATATGACGTGTGAAGATATGACAATGGATTTACTCTTGTAAATATTTTTTTCTTTTACGATGTTGTATAAAATTGTACATGGTGTTTTCTTTTTCAAAAACATATCTTTTCTTAAAGTAGCGGTTTGTTTTTTAAGTTGTACTTTAACTAAACGTCGATGCAGTGAGTAAGAGAATATTCCCTTCATAAGCACGTTGAACTTTTTTTTACCGTCAGGTCTGCGTGGAAAGACTCTTTCAATGTTGGTGTGTTTTTACCGGATGTCTGGCTTCATATAGCAGATCTCTTCATCCTCATGTTTTGTTTTTAGCCCTACGCTGCTGCTAATACTATACACAGTTCTAGAAATATTTTTATGTACGAGGCAAGCTTTCCCATTTATTAATACTGCCACATATACAGAATGAAAAGAAGCTTGGCTTATTCATCGGCGTCCATTTTTTTATTTTTTGACACTTCTTCCTCCATTGTCACTGCTCCCTTCTCTAACGGCACCGACTATATTGTAAAGTAAAGGACTTTATGAGATTACGTTTGAAAATAGCTACGCTTATATTCTACAGTGACTGAATGTACAGTGTATAGATGCATTACAAGAAATAAAGTTGTTTGTCCAGATTGAACGGCCAGGTTTTCTATTTTTGCTGCCTGTTTAAGAAACAGTTCGTAATTACCCGGTAAACAAAAGTCTTATTTTGGTCTATTTTCATCAATTGTGTATTCAAACTAAAATAGTCTCAGACTTTAATGAAACTTTGGTAAAACAACATTTTAGGTGATGCAGTTGTCACAACAACCACCGTCCAGCAGATTATAGTTAATCCAGCATGTTTTTAGTTCAGTTGTCGCCTGAATTCACCGACTTATTGTTTGTTTAGGTCTAATCCATTTGTGTCCAGTTAAAACTAACTTAGGTCCTCCCAAGAATTTCTCTCCAAACCAGTTTAGAATATAAACAAAAATATATTTACTGGTTAAAAAAAAAATAATAATAAATCGGTGTAAGTGAAGAGCTTTAAATTTATTGTTTTTAAAGGTAAAATAAACGGCTGACAATTATTTTTTTGTGGAAGTGAACACACTTTAATGGAAATAAAATTAGCATTTAAAAAGTTATGAACAGAAATATTGTTTAATATTTGTTGCTTCTCTAATTAATTTTTGTACAGTACTGAGTCCAATACGATGCAGCCCGATACAAAACCGATATTGATACCAGCTCAATACATCATCAGGCTGGTATCAAACCTGCCGGATACTGAATCTGTACCGGGACACAACTACTGGTACTATGTTTTTCTAAAGTTTAGATGGTTTTTTTTAAGCTAGAGGAAATTACTGCAAGTAGTCTAGATATACACTTGACTGACATATACATTTCTACAGAAAAACCCTTTTCGTTAGCTAAATTTTTTATTAGTATAATATATTAGTACAATATTTAGTAATATTATTAATCATTAGCTTTTCACACCTTGTTAAAGGGTGTACTTGAAGACAACGGTCAAATAGTCTTTAACAGAATATATATAAGGAACTACAAATATAGGTTAGAGATTTTAAACACCAATAAGTGAGAGAAGCTTCCTCTGAAAACTAATCAACGTCTGAAGCGATGATGAGCAGATAAGTTGTGTTCAGCGTTACGAGACTTGATTGACCAGTTCCAGGAAAATAAAGGCGGTGAGGAACGTCAGCACTGACACGAGCCAAACGAGACGAAGACTACCCCGAGGGGGAGAAGACCGCTCACAGAAAAATAAAGACTAGACGTAACCGCGTCAGGTAAAAACCAAAGTGGAACTGACTAAACCCAGAGACCACTTTTCAAAACCAAAACATCACAATCTTCTTGCTTCACCCTCTCATCCGGTTTGTGTACACAAATAGTTTTAGGGCAGCTGCTGAAGAAACCTCCATAATTACTGTGAAAACCTTGAAAAGGCACAGAAGAGCTGCAGCACGTAACTAGATGGTTCAGATCCCTGGGTCTCCAGCTGACGCCCACTCCGCCTGGCAGCATTTCACGTAAACATTCATTAGTGTGTGTGTGCACGGTGCACGTTAGCTTCAGGCTCTTTGGAGAATTTAAGTTTAGTTCACGGCCAAGCAGCAGCGCTCGGAGACAACCCCTAAATCCAGTAAAAACATGTAAAGGCTTTTTTTCTAGCCGACACTAAAGAACGTTTGAAGAAAGTTTAACTCTCCCACGGTTCTTCTTCTAACAGCAAATGAAAAAGACGCAACTAAACTAAACTTGTGCACTCCTGTACACGTACCGTTTACACGCAGAACAACCCATAAACGCATGTTTGTGTGCTGTATAAGCATCCATACCCACGTGCAGACCAGATGAAGTGACAGGACTGCAGCCGGTCTTCTCTCACCCGCCAAACAAACTTTGGTTCTCGTCTACGTGCACTCTTGGTTATTCCCGTTTGCCTTTTCTTGCATCATTACAAGTCAAAATCTAAGTGACGCACCTTGACCTTGGAGTTCCTCTGTGACGGTTTCCTTTGTTTTGATTCTACGTCATTCGAATGAACCTGGGGCTGCAGTCCCTCTTGCGTCCTGGGGGAGTTGGCTACGTCACCATAAAGATCAATGACCCAACAAGAGATTAAATGTAGGCATGAGGAGCCCAAAATACAAAAACGACAATGCATGAAACAAAAAAAGATGTTTTCAGGTATCCTGATGCTCAATGATCCAGGTGGAACTGAAGAGGTTTTGGATAAAAGACGAAACGTTTCAACAAAGAAGAATCCGTCCAGAGGACCTGAC